ATGAAAAGTGTGGCTCACTTTCTCTCATCTGTTCTTACAGTGTGTTTTTCTAAAAGTTGCATCCCAGTCTTGTTTGGTCCTGGCCAAACCCTGTTTCTCTGGATGATCCCATTTAGAGTTAGCAAGTACTGACTTCATGCAGCTATCTTCTCTAAATCTCTAGCACAAAGCTGCCTATACTAACTATAATCACAGTAAATGATTGGATATCACCATACTGATATCAACACTTTCCAAAACCATTATCATAAGCAATCTTTACAGTGACTTTGTGAAACAGCTATTATCAGTTAGCCCAAATAAAGCACAATGTAGTCCCTACTCTATATGAAGCACAATTATGGCAACATTCTATGTGTTCACTGAGCAGTTACAATGCCAGTTGCTGAAATACAAGTGTCTGAGATAAAAATGAAGACAGAAGCAAAGGAGAATACTTTACTGGCATGGGAGGAACTTTTCTATTTTTACCCTATCTTTTGCCATTATTGAAAATGCTCCTTTAATCATGTAAGCTACTGAATAATAAAATTTAGTTAATTGAGGCTACTATGGTGAGAAATTCTTTCAGTTTGTTTAATGATAAAAAACCCAGTTTCAAAGATTCAACCACTCTTAGTCCTATCAACAGAAACCAAACCTGGAAAGTAGGTCTTTGAATCTATAGACCAAGTTCTATGAGTGTGCCATTGCTATCTTACTCCTTAATACATCTGAATTTGACTTCAGTCTTCTAGACAAGCTGCATGCACCTCCGTCATGGGTCAATTAGTTGTTATTCTTTTTGTTTTGTATTTCAAAACAGGGTTTCTTTATGTAAGAGCCCTGGCTGTCCTAGAACTCTCTTTGTAGACTGGGCTGGCACAGTGATCCACAGAAGTCCTCTGCCTTCTGAGTGCTGGGATTAAAGGTAAAGGCATGCACTGCTATGAAATTGTTATTCTTGAGTCCCCGTGTCTATGATGTCTGCAAACATAGCTAATGATGTGTGGGGAAAGGTGATACACATTAATCTTTAGGATTTCAAGAAATAACATTTAAAATTATAAGGGAAATTGATTTTGTTTTAAATTTTCACTATATTACATTTGTTTAAGTTTGTGTGCCAGTATGCATGTGTTGAGATACATGCCTGGCACAGTATTCTTATAGAAGTCACACCACAATTTGAATAAGTAATTTAGACCTGGGGATTTATTTCAGATCCTCAGGCCCAATGTCAATTGTCTTGATCCACTGAGAAACTTCATTGCTTCTAAATTATCGTTAACTGGTGAAAAATCATCTCAGGCTGCATTGAGATGAATTTTATGAGCTATATCCCATAACTTTCCTTGTTGGGGATTTTAATGTTTCCAGGAATCAGTTGTGTGCTGCTTTAGAGGCTGTAGCACTATGAGTCATGCAATGGCTTCCATTGCAGACCACCAATCGGAGGTACTGCATAGTTCATATTTGTGCTTTGTTATGAGTGGTTTGGAAGAGAGCTTACATATGGACAGCCAATGATTCAATTAAGCCTTAAATCATGGTTTTCAACTTTTCCATTGTATATGTTAGTTTTCTCCTTTAAAAAATTAAGTAGACTTGATGAGGGTTCAGGAGTATGCTATAAATACTGCTCCTGATTCTTAGTTATATGGAATTCATGATGTTTATGTGACTACCAAGCCATGTGTTATAAGATAGGCTTTCTTTGATGTCTTTGTCTTTTGTTGCTAGAGACAGAACTTAAATTATTGCAGATGCTAGAAAAGAGCTTTTGCTCTGAGCTATACACCATGCTAGAGACAGAACTTAAATTATTGCAGATGCTAGAAAAGAGCTTTTGCCCTGAGCTATACACCAGCCCCACAAGAGCATCTCTGCTCCCCTAGATCGAGGAAGTAAATAGTGTTTGCTAAGCATGTGCAGACCTTGTTATTGCAGGATGTCATTTTGTCTAATAATGGGCGAAGCATAGTGTAATACTATCCTTATTTCAGAGATTAGAAGTTGGAGATATACAAATGACATGGATTCAGTAAACAAGAGCCAACCCAGACAAGCATCTTAAAACTCTTGTGTTTTAGTATTTCTATTGTCTCATGTTCTCCTCTCCCAGAAGATAGCAATAGAATTTTCTATCACTCTCAATGTTATTTTGTAAGTATTGTCCAATTTAAACTTTACAGCACTCCCAGGATAAGGATATTTTATGAGTGTATCAATAATGAATATTTAGTGAGGAACTGATGTACTAAACACAATTAGAGTAACATTTCACAGTGTCAAGTCTACTTCTTCAACCAATTCATATTGATTTCTGACTGCAAAAATATTACTTTATTTTTTCTTTATGTTATCACAGTTTAAAGGTCACGTATCACACCCCAAAGTTGTCAGAACCACATGTTTAGATGTATTTACATAGGAATATGTTCAAATATTAAACATGTACATAACAGTTGTTTGGTGTGCACTAATCTCCATTAAGCTCAGTTGCAGTTGTTTTGAAACCTTCCAGGAGGCTATGTAGAGAGATCTATAGCATGAGAGCCACCCAGTGGTCATTGTGACCTTAATCATTTCCGCAGTTAGGAGCACCTGGCCTCAAATGTAGGTGAAGGGCCATCCCTGAAATAGAGAATTGTAGGAAACAAAAAGGAAGAAAACTGGTTTCCTTCCAACAGAAAACACAAAAGGACAGAAGTTAGACTGAAAGAACTTGATAGGATAAACTGTCTATGAACAATATCAAATGGCAATATGAAAATAAACCAAATTGAACTGATTATGAATGTCACATTAGTTATCCCATGATAAAGATACATGACATAAACCCACATCTAAGATTATACACATCATGGTATGTAACTCTGTACTAATTCAAGTAATTTAACACTACACATTTCACACTGTATTAACAGAAAATATCCAATAACCCAAACTTCCCAATTTTTCCTTTGAAGGAAGAACTCCACTTTCTTTCCTTAATTCTTTTTTTTTTTGGGGGGGGATAAAGCATGCAACTTTTATTTGTAAAAGGTACAAATGTTAAAAACAATATATGTCACAGTGATTATCATTGATTATAATGGAAGACACATTGAAAATATACTGTTTGCTCAGACCTTACAAATTTTGCCATTAAAAAAATGAGTAAATATATGCAGAAATGGATGGGTTAATTAGCTTGTGGGTAGCAATATCATACATTTTCATTGCCTGCTTTACATGCACAAGTTGTTTGTGAATAATTTTTTAACCAAAGTAGGGTAATACTACATAAGACCACTGCAAGGAGCTGGAAATACAGTTCATTAAGAAAGGACACCAGTCCTGACTAGAACTTCCTGTTCCCTCATGTCCTCCTCTTCCCTCCTGTTCTCCCCTTCTCTTTCTTCTAACTCCCTCTCCCCTCCCACCATGCTCCCCATTGGCTTAGGAGAGCTTGTCAACCTGGATGTCCCTTAAATGAAGAATGGATAGAGAAAATGTGATACATTTACACAATGGAGTACTACTTTTTCTTTAATTCTTTATTCAAACTTATGTACATTTTTCTTCAGGAGCTTTATAATTAGTAATCAATGATTAAGAAGCTGTCATTCAATGGCTTATGTGTATGTGTGTGTTTGTTTCATATATATCTCACGTTATATATGCTTCATTCACTATGATTAATGCTGCAGCACCAAGGACTATTTGCTCTCCAGGAACATGAACTCAACTCCATCAGAATTTCTTCTGTATAGATGACAAATTGACAATAAATCAAAGTTAGTAATTGGGACCATTTTAATTTGACAGTTTTCATACACTTGGTAAGTCCAAACTACAGATGATAGAAGTAAAGCTGTAGATGGAAACCTCACCTGTGCTTGAGAGACTCACAGGGACATTTGCATAAGAGCATAGCAACAGACAACTACCACAGAGACCTCAGAAAGGATGACCGACTTTCAGCAGCTTACATCCCTTCTTTGATTCAAGAAAAATACAGAGCTGGACTGTGTTTGCCGGGAACAGAATAAGGGGAAAAGCATAACCTTTTGCTTTAACAAAGCTATGGTACTCAAGTCCATGTTGGTAACTGTGTGGGGTGTTTGATGAGCACTTTGAGTAACTCTACAAATGATTTGAAAAAAATCAGAAATTTGTGCTTTCATGTCATTTTGTTAAATATCATTCATGTTATGCAGATGGTTAAGGACATTTAGCATGTTTTTCTGTTTAGAACTGTGCTGCGTTTTCTGAGGCAGTCCTTATTTCAAAGTGTTAAATTTTAATTAAGCTTTGTATTAATAATCAGGGAAGACTATAGTGTCTCCAAATATGGACACATACATATACTTTACTAATCCCAAAGTATTTCTAGAAAAATACTTAATATTCAATTTCAACATAATCTGTAATGATTAGACATGTCTAATAAACCTAACATTTAAATTTAATTTTATAGTTAATCTTTTGAAAGCAATTCATAACATTTAGTGTGTGTGAATGTGTGTGTGTGTGCACACACGTGTGTGCACACTTGTCTGTGTGTAATCTCCCTTTTGAAGTATGCAGACATAGAACTAAGTCATAGGTATAGAGAAGTTGACATTTTCCTGGAATAGTGAACTAATGGACTATTGGGTTCTCTCTCCAGTGAATCCCTTAGAAAGCCCAATCTGGTGCTTTTTCCTTTGGTTAACCCTATTCCCAAAGCAGGGCCATTTACTGCCCCCAGACTCAATATGTAATCCTCATCAAGGAGACCCTAACCAGATGTGCCCTTGCTACACACACTACTGCAGAAATGTGTATGAATCAAGCACTTACTCTGCATGCAGTATCCAGTCGTGGATGCCATTATACATTGTTTCATAAGCATGAGCAGACCATGAGACCAATTCTAGATTTTAGCAAAACTGATGGTTGGTATATTAGTGTTGCATTTATTCTAACCACTCTATATTCTTGTTTTGGGATTTAGGTGAAAATTATTTCAACCAAGACTACCTTTGAAGATAATGAGGAACTACACACTACTAAATGAATTCATCCTACTGGGAATACCTCAAACACAAGGACTGGAGACTCTGCTCTTTGTTGTGTTCTTATTCATCTACTTCTTCACATTGCTTGGAAATTTGCTCATCTTTACAGCAATAGTTTCTTCATCTACCCTTCACACCCCTATGTATTTCTTCTTAGGACTTCTATCCATTTTTGACATGTTATTCCCATCAGTAACCTGTCCCAAGATGCTCCTTTATCTCTCTGGTCAGAGCCCAGCCATCTCTTACAAGGGCTGTGCTGCACAGCTCTTCTTCTATCACCTTCTTGGTTCTACTGAGGGATGCCTCTATTCTGTGATGGCTTATGATCGCTATGTTGCCATCTGTCACCCACTGAGATACATGCTCATCATGAAACCTGGAGTGTGCCTGAGTTTAGTAACAATAGCTTGTTTAGTGGGGTGTCTTCATGCCACCATCCTGACCTCTTTTACCTTTCAATTAGTCTATTGTGCATTCAATCAAGTGGACTATTTCTTCTGTGATCTTCCTGCAGTTTTACCTCTAGCTTGCACTGATAGTAAACTGGCTCAGAAGGTGGGTTCCATTAATGTTGGCTTTCTGGCTCTGATGCTTCTCTTCAGTGTTTGTGTCTCTTATGCACACATTGGGATTGCCATTCTGAAAATCCGTTCAGCAGAAGGCAGGCAGAAAGCATTCTCCACCTGCAGTGCCCACCTCACTGCCATCCTCTGTGCCTATGGACCTGTAATCATCATCTACTTACAGCGCACACCAAACCCCCTGCTTGGTGCTGTGGTGCAAATATTAAATAATATTGTCTCACCCATGCTGAACTCTTTAATCTATTCACTGAGGAACAAGGAAGTGAAGAGATCCTTGAGGAGAGTCTTCCAGAGTGTAATACTTGGCATTCATAAATGAATTGTGGATATAATAATGCTATTTAAAACTTCGTTTCTTAGCTACCTCCAGCAGAAAATGGGTGTAAATACTGAGGCCCACATCCAGGGATTATGCTGAGAATGAAGGACTTGTAATACTCAGCTCTAAACAGGATGCTTCCCTCAAATCCTTCTCCTTAGAGCTCAGGAAACCTCATGGAACAAGAAGCAAAATGATGGTTAACAGACATAGGGAATGAATATCACCAAGGAAACAAGGACCTTCAAATCAACATGAGCAAAGCACATATGAACTCACAGAGAACATAGCAGCAAGCACAGGGCTGACGGGGTCTGCACCAGGACTTTTGTATATATCATGGCTTCTATTTTAGTGTTTTCCTGGAATTTCTTAAGTGTGTGGACTAGCGGGCCTCTGTTTCTTGTGCCTTGTATCAGGATCTTTTCTTTGTCTTTGTATGTTTGTCTAATTCCAAAGTGCTACTTGTTGTTTTATTGTATTACATGTTATTATATTACTAAAAACAGAAATGACCTCAGCATTTTGCTACAGTAAGACAGTATAAGGTCAAATAATATGCCCCAATTACATTAAATTCCCTGTAAATATAAATTAAATTTGTCTTGTAGATCGGTTTATTGTTATGAATTGATATATAGTAGTTGCATTTTTTCACTCCTGAATATAAACATCTCAAAGAAAACAATTATCAAAACATGTAGAGGTATTAAAGGACAACAAAATATCAAAAAAGCCTCTCTTCTTATAAAGTTTTGTCTCTTCCTATAAATCCCCAATTCCCTGATTTTAAATGAATAAATGGATAAAGAAACACACAATGGTATATCTGAATCCATGTGATATGTCTATAACATTTTCTGTGTTATTCTCCCTCTACTATTCTGAAGTCCTTCCCAGATGTCTATAACATTTTCTGTGTTATTCTCCCTCTACTATTCTGAAGTCCTCCTAAGTAACTCTATAGCCAACTATATGAGTAACTAGATGTGAAATCCAGAAAAGGAAGCCAAGGGGCATAGTAAGCAACAATAGAGAGATTTCCTATATCTATAATCCTCAGCTTGAACATAACTCCTGGTTGAAGATTGGAGAGAGCTGTGATCTTAATTCATTCCTTCCCAGTGACAAATAAACCTAACTTCACACTTCTGCTTTGCTTAGAATGGGTTTACTCTCCTTTTCTGCTTCCAAGCACTCCAGTTCCCCTATATCATGAAAGGAATGTGAGATGTTTATAAGGCATGATATTTATAAGGCATCACTGTGATGGCCCTCTAAGGACTATTATCTCCATACATGTGCACACCAGTTCTATAAAATAAACTTTTACCATTTATATGTGAGAGTTCTCAGTATTAAAAACATCAAATAACAGATATAGAATCTAACATGAATTGGCACTATGAACTTCAAACACATAGCTAGTTAGCTAAGAGACTCCTGTTCCTAATTGCCCTTCCCTGAAAGAGCTGCCCTTCATGACCTCTATGTTGGCTTAACACACCTCACCATCTTTCCAGAAAACTCATAATATTCATGATTTCTCAGGAAGCAACTGATGAGTGCCATGAATGTACATCGAACTCACTGCTTACACCACTTTAATCTCTCCATTTCTCTACCTGTTGTCAAAGTAGTTAGTATCTGGTCCCTGCAAATATCAATTGAGGGCTGAACCTGGTCTGGGCCTAAGTTCAATGCTTCCTTTCTTCATATAGTGTTATTACCTTGATGCTATCACAACCAGGAGCCACACTTTTGTTGGTTTTCAAGGTACAACTGATACTGCTAAAACCTGGATGACGATTGGTGTTTTCAGAGTATCCTAGTTTTGGCACTTTTTTTTTAGACTTTTGTTGGTTTTCAAGGTACAACTGATACTGCTAAAACCTGGATGACAATTGGTGTTTTCAGAGTATCCTAGTTTTGGCACTTTTTTTTTTTTTAACAAAAATCAATTGCTCCATGATGATGTTATCTCAACTATGAAACTTCTTAGTCTCTAGCATAAAACTATATTGTGGAGGAAAGCCTTTGAGATCCCTACAAATGTCACCAGTGCTATAATGGTAGCTTTTAGGAATTTTTCAGTTGGCCACAACAGATATGCTCAGTGTCTCTTGGCTGGCCATCTCTCATGGCAATCAGCTTCTCCTCTGGTGGGTACTCCAGTTGCAGCTTCGTGAAGTATCCAGATACCATTGACTAAGTGAACTCTGCATTGTCAGCCAAGAAAGTCCATCGCTGTACTTCCATGTGGTGCCTAAAATGTTTTCCAATGACAATCAATTTAGTGTCCAGCTATTTCCATAGTTATTCCTTGCCATGAATCCAGAGCAGGGATGTCATAGAAGAGCTTCTAATGTTGCAAGATGTCATGTAGGGCAGCATTCACAAACTGTGCTGGCATGCACTGGGATACTGGAGAATGAACTAGGGTTGAGAAATACTAAGACTTGATAATTTCATTATGTCTATGTATTGTATTTCATTGGAGATCACCATTGAATGTCTTTTCCCTGAGTATTCAATATTTCATGACAAAATTCCATGTCTGCATTAGAGATAGATTGTGGTGATTCAAATGCTACCTCATCCCAAGCCAAAGGTAGTGAAGATGATATTAGCCAAATCAGCATTGATGCAGTTCCTGAATGAGTGCCAAGGACTTAAAATGACTTGCCAAGGACCACTTCTTCTGGGAGTGTTTCCAAGTGTATTGCCTCGCCATGATCATCTGATTAAAACTGGATACCACATTATGCTTCTAGAACACAATATGATTCTTTCAATACTCCTTTTGTACAGTGGTTATGTACTTAGCAGTAACCATATCATCCAAGTTCTTTTGGCAGATCTATACAGTCATGGAATACTTGGCATCACTGACCCAGCTCCTAGGTTGTAGATGCAGTTCCAAGAATTTATAGCAGTTCTCACTCCTGCATCCCACTGCCTGAATTGGCCCTGATGTTATCTTCTTAAGCACATCCCTTGGATAGCCCAGCAGTTCCTCCATCTTATACTTTAAGGAAAAACCTTCCATCCATTGTGGAAATATCTTAATTTTCAGTTGTTAGCTTCTTCAGCTTGTTATCTCTATAAGGCTTGTTGTCTTTCCTCATATCCTACAAGAGTGAAATGAAAATAATTACCCATTTTATTTCAGAATCAGAGAAGCAAAAAGAATGTGTGTTTATTGGGTTACACACACATTTTCCATTTTCTTCTGTAACTTTGAATTATACATTTATCAGGGACTCCAGATCTGTGAGCTTAATAAATGTCTTCCCTTTATAATTATACTCAAATCCCTGGAATTTTGTGATAGCAATAAAAATGGATAAAGACACCCTTCAAATTATTGTAGATTACATATTTTAGACTGAGACTAAGTTACTTATGAAAAACTTGACTATCATCATCACTCAAGCAGACCTAAATTTGTGATCCTACTTCTTCAAACACCTAAGAAACTAAAAATAGAGGTTCTGACATTCATGCCCAGCTCCTAAATTCTTTTAAGGATGTTGAGTTCCTTCCAGTCATGGACAGTGGACATGCCAATGCCTCTGCTGGGAAATTGCTTTGTCTTTCCATACCCTGTCTTCTGATTCACACTGCAGTTCCAGATAAGAGAACATTTTCCGACAGAACTTCTCCCACCTTCAGAGAATCCCACCTCCCCATAGGTCAGTATTCGACAAATAAGATTTAAGAACGACCAGCTTTTAAATTCTTTAGTCACAGGTTAATTATTGGAGAAAAATAGTGAGGTTTCATGTGAACATTCTTGAAAAATATTAGTCTATAAATGTTCACAAAAGATATTGGCATAATCCCCCATCAACACAACACAATTAAACCAAGGAGTTGATTAGATGCTTTCTCAAAAATACTTCTTTCTCTTGGGAATAATACCCAAAGGAAGATCATGACTATTTAAAATCTCTTGTGTTGTGAATTATTGCATTTCCTGGAACCAAACAGGAAACTGCTACCAGGGAGCTGAAGCACACTTCGATATGTGGCATTTTACTGGAAAGTGATTTAAACAAGGAGGAATTCTTAGTTCCAGCTTACAGACTTAAGGATGTTGAGACTCCCTCCTTCTTCTGCAGGTACAAAGGAAAACAGGGCTCAATAACACCATCATCACATTCAGCTTTCTATTGGCTCAGTAAGTACCCAGATGTCTCCTCATCTTTAACTGAGTGATCAGTCTTTCAATCAATAGGGACATAGTATGGGTGAAGAGGGCAGAGTTTTAGACAATAGATTTTATGAGTTAACCTGTATTTTAAGGATTGCACTGTGCTGGAAAACTAAAAATATATGAAAATCTGTCAATAAATTTCAAAATATGAAAACTCAAAAGGAATGTTTCCTGTGACCAGCCTTCTCTTTAACTTGGAATATGATTCCATAACTAGACTTTGCACACTTACATAGAGGCAACAGTAGTTTCTTTGTTCCACGTGGAATGCCAAGGTCTTTCTTTAGGTAGCCACTCCTTGTTGTCCCTCATGATTCAGTAATTATGAATAAAGAGTTTAAGGAAGTTGACATATTATGATACATTTTTTGTTCACAGATGAACCTATGAAATTGGATGCAATCTTTCATTGTTAAAAGCAGGAAAACTTTACACCTTTTTAAATATCTGTGACTTTATTGTTTTCGGTGAAATCTTTGTGCATCCTGTTCCTTCCATACAACTGGTCAATAAAGTACATTTGAAGTTGCTTTTTTTTTAACTCCACAAACTTAGTTTAACTTTTGTAACATATGTGACAAATGTCTTTTAAAAATATAATGCAATGTGATTAGTGTGGTTTGGAAAATGGTCTCTCCCCTCCCCTCTGTTCATATACATACATGTGAGATGTATATTATGTGTATAATAGGGAGTGAAGAGATAATTAGCATAGGCAAATGCTAATTATCACACAAGAAAATCCTACGAAGCCTTCAGTCACTATGCTCTTCTCGATGTTTATTCATATAAGACATGGTATAACCTGATGTACAATCACATATCCTCATTGTTTTCTAGAAGAGAGAGCAAGCTGCTGAGAAAAAAAAAATTAGTGTAACTTAATAAGCTTATGACTCAGTGATGTTCACACTTCAAACTTAAAATTGTGAAGTACATCATTTGCTGTTGTCATTTTTTGTGAATACTCTGAGTTCTGATTCTCATCACCTCAGTCCTAGAAACTGGTTGCTGTTGTGACTGGAAAGAGATAACTTCACATTAATTAAATTTGTTACTGGACACTTTCACATCTGAACATGATTCATCCTGAGTATTCTTATTCCCCACTTGGCTTATCCCTCTCCAATAAGGCCACTCCCCCATCCTCCCTACAAATGCTTTTGTGGAGAGTCTTCACTGATTTAAGAATCACAATAGAGCATCTGGAATGATGGAATAGCGTCATTTATGTGAATTTGAGAAGAGAGGAGAGTAGCCTTGGAAGTTACTTTCTGGATGAGATTGTTAAGGATACCATCTACAATTGCCCAATAAGTTACCTTCTGGCTCAGATTTTTAAGAACCATTATCTGCAATTAAGAGCCTAACTACACAAATATACCCCATTGGCAGGAAGAATAATTCTGTCTAGAACAACTCTGTAAATGCTACTTTTTCTCTTCCACCCTCATGATTTAAAGTCATCTAATACATATACATAATACATTTTATCAAGAATTTCTCTCCACAGATTCCTAGGACTTGATTCTCCCATAAACATGACAAAC